TGCTGAAACATTTGTTCACACAAATAAGGGAAGGTGATAGCTTTCCTCCCTGACCACATGCTCTCTCTTCTGTTCCAAGTCTTAATTAAAAATGATACTACAGGAAGCAAATCAATTAACAAATACCTTACAAGATGCTTTATTCACTTACTCGTGTACACACAATTACTTACAAGTATCACATTACTGCTTTAGTTTATCTGTTAGTAAATGCTGCTAATGATCTGCAGTGTTACTGACATGGGTAACAGACACCTAGGAAACCAGGGAAAGTATTCCAATATACCATTCTTCTGTCAAAATAAATTTTACACTTTGTTGTTCAAAATGTGTGGAAAAATTACTATCCAGTTTCCTTTGCACATTTGACAAATGACCTTCTTTGTGAAAGTCAAAAAACGCCCATATTGAAATCCCTTTAGTTACAGTTACAAGTAGTATAGTAGCTTATTCTTTATAAAACCAAAATTTTTATATATCTGCTCTTATGCTCTAACAGCATGTTTCCTCTAAGTTTCTGACCCAGCACATCAGCTCTGCCTGATCTGAAAGTTGTTTATAGGAGGATAGGAGGCCCTAGTCTCCATGATTTTTCTGAGTGATATTTCTTAATAACACTCAGAATTTCTAGCTTGGACTTCAGTCTTACAATTGCTTTTTTTTTTTAAGTTGGATTAAATATCTTATATTAGTGGAGAGCTGGAAAGAACTTACTTTATTATGATCTGCCACACTGAGAAAACAAACAGGTATAAAAGTGAGTTTTAAGAATGTATGTAAGGTGAGAGATTTAAAAATCCCATATGTCTATAGACATTGGCTTGAGCTAAAAGGTTATGAACATCCTATTTATTTACAGGTTGTGGTCTTTGGATCTGGATAATAGTAAATTACAAGAAATAGTGTAACATCCTGTTTGGAATCATCCTATAATGCTACAACATAAAGCTCTGCCTGTGAAATATTGGGATATTACTTAATTAAGTTGGGCATGCCATCTACCTGAGGCCCCCAAGCCTTGAAGTTCTGCTGGGTTTCCTGAGAGAAGCTGTAGGAATGGCAGAGGATGCTGGCCAAGAGTTCCCAAAGCTCCCACAGCTGACATTGGCTGCCCTGTCTTCACAAAGTGAAAGAAAAGCCTGGTTTGAAATAAAAAATTTTCATGTCTTCTTACACCTTATGATGACAATATGTTATATACGGAATTCTTGAAAGAAGAGGATTAAACAGAATAGAATCTACAGCATTGTTTTCTGAACTGAGACCAAAGCCACCGACTCAAAGCTTTGGTAAAAGTTGGAAAGTGTTTACAGAATAACTAGGATTTAAACTATTTTAAATTATTGAAACAACTCTAAATGTTCTGAAACAAAACTAATTTTTCTTCTCATCACTCCCACTATAAGAAGCTTGTAATTGGAGCCAGACAAAGCAATTTTGATGTAATCAAGTCCACCAGAACATATAAAGCTAGAACAAGGGTGAAGGTGATGGGAAACTGAAATTATTCACAAATTCTGATTGAACTTAGTGCGTTGTTTTATACTGAAAAAATAGGAATAGGGAAATTCTGGAAATAACAGATTAGCTTGTTTGTACAGTATTGACATGAAGTGTCAACAGAACATAAAAGCATTATTTCAAAAAGGAATTTTTAAATTTTAAACAGCCATCATTAATTTTAAATGATTGAAATCATCACTACTACATATAAAAGACATCAGTTCTAGCTCTAAAACAAGGTAAAACTTAAAATTAAGGAAATGTTTTCTCACTAAGACAAAACATGTATTTCTTGAAGTAAATGAGAAGCATGTTTTGTTTCAACCTCAAATGAATGATTTTCCATGTTGTTGAAATCATTATTTGCTTATTGTGAAATACGGGTGTGACCATGAATTCTGCTGCTGAATTATATTGCCACCTTTCTGATTGCCTGGTATTTAACTGTCTTTAGAAATCAATCTTATCACAGAATAAAGAGGATCTATTAGTGAATGGAGCTCATCTGTTTTATTCTCCTCATACATTTCTTTCATATAGAGGCTGAGGGGGATTGCAGGCCTTTTGGGTGCAGGTGATTGAAGTTAGCTGCATTATAAGCTCTTCCTGTAAACAATCAGTCAGCCTTTCAACTAAAGAACAAAGGAAAGTATTGGTATTGGTAAGATTCCTGACAGTGCACAAGAGACTTCTATTGATCCTCAGACCAGGTAACTGTTGATTGCACAAGGGTTATTGATCTCTTGTACTTTGGTTTCTTACTGCATTGCTGTCATCTGTGAAAAGAAAGAAAAATCACAGTTTAACAATAACTCTCTGGCATTGGTTTTACCTGGATTATCCCACGTAAAACATCATTGTAAAGGATGAGCTGGTAGATACTCAGATAAAAATCACAGGAATTCAAGAAAATTACTAATGGGGATGCTGAACTTACATTCATGAAGTTTCTTTCACTTAACTTTTCTTTTCCTAGATGTTTCTTTGTACCTTTGGAGGCATCTGTCTTCTAAGTGAATTTACAGAACAAATGCATGCTTGTGGCTGTTGGGGTGACTTCCAGATGCCCTTGTCACTGCCAGGTAATAATCCACTAGCAGCAAGCCATGCATTTTTGGGTAGCATCCCAGTGCTCCCTGTATTGCAGACACTGGATTATTGTCATTTGGGCTGCCTCCCAGTATTGCCTTTCCACAGAGTGGGGAGCAGCTGAGCAGCTCCTGGATCCCTTTTGTGGATGCATCTTCCCAGGGATTTACTATTCCAGTGCCTGCTGCTGTGGGGCAGCTGCATAGGGCAGCCAGCCTTGCAAAGTGCCCTGGCCTGACACTGGGTATCCAGGTAAAGCACTGGGCAGCTGTGGGACAGCACAGATAAATCACCTGCCTCAGCCTGTGCAGAGTGCCCAGCAGATCCAGGCTGTCAGTAGGAGCTCAGGGTAACCCCACGACCTTTACTGCTGTTTGACCTTTCCCTAGGTGAATGTGCCTCTACAACTTTGGGTCTGCCCAGTACTGTCACTCCAGCTCCCTGTGCCACCAACACCCCCTTCCCCCAGAACATACCTGCTTTGGCTGGATCCCGTGGTTGACCTGCAAAGTGTAGAGAGTGAGCTATTAATTGTGACTTTCAGAGCCATAATCAAAGGTGAGAATTCAAATGAGTAACACATTAGAGTTGCAGAAATGAAGAAACTTTTTTATCTTTTCTTCACTGCTCTAAATCTTTTATTCAATTTTGCTCCATCTAGTGTCAGTGCTTGGGAACACGATCTTGTCCTGCAGCTCTCAACTTGTTTATATTAAATTTCACGACTCCACAGGGAAATGAATTTCATCATGGTCCTATTTCTACAATACTAGTTAAGCATTTTCTGGTGTCTTTGCTAAAGAAAGATGTCACAGGAGATTCGGTGGGCAGAGACAATCCTTCACATAATCTGCCTCAGTCTTTTTCCTTCTGTGAGAGAAATTTTGTCACTTGATGCTCTGTCAAAATTTTCACGTGAAATTCACTGCCCTGCTAGTGTTAGTGTGAACTTGTGTGCAGAAATCAAATGTGATACACGAAAACCTGTGAGTTGGAATACGCAGGAGCTCTAATTTGATGCTGTTCTTGTCTGGCTAACACCTGTGGCACTCTTGAGTCTCCTGCGTCAAGAGGCCTTGGTTTGTGTTGGTTTTAAGCTGTCCTTTAGCTATCATAGCAGCTTTCATTCCTGGCTAATCCCATGTTGTCACTCCTCTGACAAGCCCTAGGCAACACAAAGCTACTCAGTTTGTTTGGCAGAGTAGTGCTGCCAGGGAGCAGGAGGCTCTATGCTCGGTGGCATCTAATATTTGGGTTACCCTGGGTGCCTGTTGACAGGGGTGAAGAGGGTACTCTTCCAGAAACATTTCTCCTTTTTTTTTTTTTTTTTTTTTTTTTTTTTTTTTTTTTTTTTTTGTATCCGGACTTGCAGCAGCTCTAGGGAAGGGTAGAATTACTTGTTTAGTGCTGGAATAATTTGCACCAGTAAGTTTGCCAGCAGCTACCACGGTGGCTGTGGAAGGAATTGCCTCTGACAGGTGTCTGAATATTACCAGGAAAGCATTCTCCTGACTCAGCAGGTTTGGCACCAACTCTTACAATCAAATTATTTAGAGCTATTCAAGACTAGCCTCAAACAGTTGTGCAGAAGGGTAGGAAGGAGTAAGGATTCTTCCCTGTTTGGCAGCTGTGAAAAGGTCAACGACAAAGGCAGTCCCCAGATCCAAGGGGAGAACAGGTGCCCTGGGCCAGGTGCCCTCCCAGGGAATGTGGAGGGTGGCCAGAGAGGAGCAAAAAATAGCCAGAAGTGTGGCTCTGCCCATCAGGCTGGTAGCTGGCATCAGTGAGGTATGCTGTATCCTGGAAACGGGTGTAATGAGTTAATCTCACCCTAGCAGTTTGTGCCATATGTATGTGTGTAGTGTATATATATATATATATATATATATGTATGTATGTATGTATACATAACTGTCTTTCAGGGCCTGTGTGTGTCTGTATTCCCTCAATCCAGGAATGGTGCTAAGGGAGCTGAGAGCCTACAGAGTGTCTTATTCCTGCTTTTTAAAGCCTCCTGTCCCCGGCACAGTGCAAAGCTTAATGTCCTTGATTTTGAAGTGTGTGATAAAAAGATTAATTTCATTTTATGGAAAGGGTAACCTGAGCCAGTGACTTGTCCAAGGTTGTTCAGAAGAACAAGTTTAGCCAGACAGGGCAGTGACAGAAGTAGGAAGGAAAACCAGTTTATTACTCTAGTTGTTGGTGACTATTGCCTCAACACAAAATGGGTATTGGCATTTTGTTTATGCAAATGTACATGTACAAGGAGTTGAGACAGCCATTTCTGATGTGATTATTTGCCCATTTTTAAACATTTGCACACACATGGAGTTGTTTAGATCATCTCTACTTGTACTTAAATTTATTTGCAATAGCATACATTATTATGGCATTTGTGAAGCTTTAAATATTTTCCATTAAACTCAGTTCCCAGGATGCATGCTGAGCAAAGCTAAAGCAGTGAGTACAGCCTTCAGCCTATCGACCACCCACTAATCCCTGCAGTGCTGAGTGAGGAATTGGGCCTGTTCTGGTGTATCAACAGGGCCAGACCCATCTTGTGCAGGTGGCATCTGCTCAGTGAATGCAAATGCACTGCTGCCTAAGAGGACTGGAGCCCTCCAAATTTGTCTTCCACTCTCATTCTCGTGACAGTTCTTCACTACTGGTTTTAAGCCAAAGTGGCAACGTGAAGAGAGGCTCTGTAGTAAAAACAGACCTCACAGGAATACTTTGTGACTGATTTTGCAAGGTTTATTTGGATCATTGAAAAGGTTAAGTGTCGTTGCTTGCTCTGTTTTTCCTTACATGTAAACCACTAACAACTTCTGAAGACTTTGTTGATGTGATGATTGAATGGTATGTAGAATATCCTATATCAGAATGACAGACCTTGTGAAGGTCTGCTTGGGAAACAAAGAGTGGCAAGTGAAAGAACAGCTTAGGGCATCACTGAGGGATGATAAGAGAATCCATCCACACAGAGGTGTCAGAGTCTGCTGAATCTGCATGACTGTTCTGCTACAGATCCAAGAAGATGAAACTGACTGCATAGTTTAAAAGGAATATTCCTGGGAGAGGAAAAGAAAAAAAAGGCTTGTTTAAGGAAAGTAAAGATAGATGCAGACAACTTGCTGGTGGGCTGAACTTACAGTGTTACCTATGAATAGCTGGCACAGTATTGAGGGGCTGCAGTGCATTTCAGTGCCCAGCATCCGGGGAAACCATAATTGACCCTTTTCTCTTGTGCACCACTCTTCCAGTGACACTCTTAGACAAGGCCAAGGTCTTTTTTCTTTTCAATTTGTATTTACGGATTTTGGGTTGTAAATTTTGGGACCATTTTCCAAAAGACTCCCACATGTGGCTTTCTCAAGTACCCACTCTAGTATCAAAACTAGATCTCCAGTAAGTTTATTTGTGAGCTCAGACTGCAGTGACTAGACAGACAGTGTCTCTCATTTGCAGGTGATGAGACTCATGTCTATGTTTTTGGCTTCCTATTTGTTAAATGATGCATTCTGCAATTCACAGTGCTCTAGACCAAGCTGGACTACTTGGATCAGAAAGAACTCATCTCCAAAACAAGTTGTTTGTCTTTCTATCTTACTTTAAACCTGGTTGAAGGATATGATATTTTTAGATCAGAACCTGTTCACTGTCCCTGCCTGTCAGGCTACAGACCTGAACATGACAAAATGCTAGGAAAAAGACTCTTGGTTCGGGTATTTAGGCTGCCACAGTTCTGATAGTTGGAAGAAACTGCAGCACAGCATTGAAACCTGAACACGATTGCCCAAACCTTGTCTTTTCCATTATTTTCCATCTGTGATGGTTATATTTTCAAAGTGGATGACTTCACCTCCGATGCAATGTGTGGCACTGTTTTTAGATTTTCAGAACATATTAGAGAATTTTAAGGTACAGTTACATTCCAAGACCTCCTCCATTCACCTAAAGAATGCTATAATTCTTAAAAATATCCTGTGTTTCTCAAGCACAGTCTAGCAAAGGAGAGAGTAGTTGGCCCCTTAGAAGTCAGGAGGGAAAATATAAGAGAATATTTTGATGAGGCTTTGGGTAGGAAAAGAAAATCACCGATACACTTGGCAAGCACCTCCCAAGCTCCTCCTCTCTTCCATAAAACATCAGAAGAACCTGTGTATTGCATTTAAAACCTGATTTTCTACTGAGTGATTTAGGTGGAGTCCTGTAGAGCCCAGTGAGTGACATGGGGGATTTTGTGTGTGTGCTGTTGCCCAGGATGTGTTGACAACAGATTCATTTGCAGCAGGTTTAAAATATGTACCTTTTCCTTTTTAGTAAATATTCTCTGTCTCTCCACCCTTCTCCTTGTCTCTGTATGTCTCTTTCTTTTCCTCCTGTCAAGATAAATCTGGCTGACATGCACTGTAGTTAACTCAAAATATTGCCAGCATTAAATGTGCCCAGACATTTTTATGAATACATTAAACTTGCATGAAATTTTTAGGCATTATAATTTACCAAGCTTACACCAAGATGGCATTTGATACTGACATGAGCTATTAATTAAAAAAGAGGACGTTAAATAATTGTCAGTTGACATATAAATTGCTGTTTTGTTGGCTGACAGAACCTTGCCTCAAGCCTTTTTCTTCTCAAGTGTTAGTAAATATCCCATTGAGTTTAAGAGCAACCCATTGTGAATTGATTGTTTAAATCTTAATGTTATGTACCTGACTAAATAAAGTGTAAATTCTGTTCATTATTGCACAATGAGCTATCAGTGTCATGTGGATCTCGAAATACTTGTGTTTTTAAGTATTTTGGAAATTATCAAGGGGGAGGCATCCAAATACTTCCTGGTTTTAGTGAAAATCTGTTCTTGGAAGGGGTCAGGTAGGTTCAGTACCAGCTAATTGGGGTTCTGACACAGAGGATGATTATCTGCATCAAGACCTTCAGCTGGTACAAGGCTGAGCAGCTCCATTGGCTATGAAAGTACAGTGCTGGGTGATGCCCACTCCGAGTATTTCCCAGCTAGGGAAATATTGAGTGGCTGGTGGCATTTGTAGAAATAATGACATAAAATTTAAAACAAAATTTGGCTGAAGGTGAATTTGGTTGAATGTTCTCAGTTGAAGTATTTTTTTATTCCTGAATCCTATAGGGATTGTGTCTCTTAACACTGAAGGTTTCAAGTTGCCTTTCCTTGAGATATTCAGGATGGCTATATGGTTGGTTGGAATAAATCAGGTGACTTCAGATAATAGACTTCACTTTATCAGAGGGTTTTCTAGGGCTAGACACAGGTCTAAAAATTCCATGAACCAGAATTCCCTAGGGAACTGAAGCAAGCGGGTAAAATCAACTTAGATGTAATTATCATATGTCTCTCTGGTGACCTGAATAAATCCTACTAAGGATTAGTTTATTAGGGGCATTTCTAAATATTTCTATGGCTCTGGTAGTATTTTTACTGCCAGAGTTTTCCTCAAAACCAGTAAAAGTCTATACTGTTTCCACAGATTATTACCAGCATTATAGCATCCTTTAGTGACCTACCAGAGAGTAATACATAGATGCCCTGAAGTGAATGAGAAGAAAGATTTGCTAGTAAATTACTGACTACCACAACAGAATTGAAAAGTGCACTGATTACGAAGTGATTGTGGATTTCCAGGTTTTCTCCTACTTAGCCATAAAAGTATGATCTTTAACATAAATAGTTTTGCCTCAAAATATTGTGGAATTAGTTTCTCTCATTGGTCAGTGTCAGCGGGTCTAAGGCAAAATGTTTGTGTATTGTGTCACACTTGCAGCCTTAAGACCAGAATTTTGTCATTAAACTGGAAATTTCACTCTACCTTTTAGCAAACAGAAAAGGAAACATCAAAGATGTCAATGTAAGGTCACCATTAAAGACGTGAAATTTTGCTGCCACCACAAGTCAGTCACTTCCCCTAGAAAGATCAGAGGATGATGTGATAAATGTTCAGACTGTCTCTGAAGGAAAATACGACACATAATAAACAGCAAAGAGAGCTAGAGAAGTCCAGTGTGGAACAGTTCATAGATCATCCTGTCTGCATTTCACCCAGGCAGTAAATCTACCACTGCCTTGTGTTTCTTCTTGTCTTTGTCCCTCTCATCTCTTTTTTCTCTTTTCTCTTGACTCTGGTCTCTGGCTTTTCTGTTCTGGCTTAGCTCTTTCTCATGACTTTCCTGTTCACTGTTCTGTCAATACTGTCCTGAAAGCATCATAAAGTTTACCAGGTATTCTATGTTTGTTCTTCTGATCTTATCATAGTCCTAATCCATTTAGATGAAGCCTTTTACCCAGCGTTTGCTGTTATTACACATAGTACAAACAAACAGACAAAAGAAGCTTCATCGCAACTGTGTGAGGGATTTTAATTTTAAAAAGAATCTCAGTCTGCTGGGTTTTCTTGTGTATTTCTGAAATGTTAAAATGCTGTTGGAAGAAAATTCCTTTTTCCACACAGATTCACTAGATATCCCAGTGCTCTAGAGGTTTGTCATGTGTGTTATGTGCAATCATTCAAACGTGGGGAAGCATCATGCAAAACGAGAGAAATTAAAAGCTGTGCATAACAGAAAACACAATGACTCTTACCTTCTATCCATTTTGCCATCTGACTCTAAAGTGAGAAGAGGAAAATGTGGTTAGTTGAGAAACAAGGAACAGAGTGGTAATAGGCCTCCACAGAATTTGTGGGGAGGCAACCAGGAGTACATAGTTACAGCTGGTAAAGATCCAGCCATCCTTTCTGAGGTAAAATTCTTTGATATTAGTTGTGTCATGCAACTTTGCTAAAACTGTTCTTGATTCTTCCAGCTGGAATATCTCATGATAATTTTCTCAGAGCTGTATCTTAGCTAATACTTTGTCTGGTTTGAGTTTGGTTGTAGCATATCCCCAGGGTATCATGAGAAACAACTTCGAGGCTAAAAGTAGACTTGGTTATAGTGAAATGTGAGTCTGCAGTTCACAGCAGTTCAGTAATTCAGACACTTTAAAAATAGTAAAAATAGTAAAAATAGCTCTTCACGGGAAAACCAGAGCTGTTGTACATACACAATTGCTAACACTGAAGCTCAGATCTGCTGTATCAGAAGATGAGGAGAGCTAGATCTATGGAAAAGGGATCAGGAGTATTTTTTCTTACCTCCAAAGACACTGTCAATCATTTGGGCTTTGATCATGCAGATTATTACTGCTACAAAACCGATTGCTAGAACTGCTCCCAGAGTAACTCCTATAATAACATATGTGTAATCTGCAAATATTGAAAACCACTCAGTGAGTATATACCATTAAATAATAAATACATTCTTTGAGTTTCAGCTGTAACAAAGTTTAAATGCATCCCTTAAAAAGTAATGCTGCGCCAGAGTAGGCAGCTGAGAAGAGTCTGAGTCTGTTCTTTCAAACCCTTGCATATCAAGAAGCCATGTGAGCACAAGGGGCTCGAGGGTGTTTTATCATAAGAACCAACTTCAGCTTTTGATGTGTGCAGGTCTCAGCTGAGCTTTAGAGCCAGGGCTTTAGTTTTACCCCAAAAGCAAAATCCCCCATCCGCGCTCCTTTGCCAATCTGCATCTTTTCAAATTGTTATTGTTGCTTCCAGATATGCACACACACATATCGACCTCCCAGTCCCTCCCCTCCTGCCTTGTCCAGCTGTTCTGCATCTGTAAGTCTTTGCAGAGAGGAAGGAAATTTTTAAAGTGTAAATTCTGTGTTGTGATTTGGCATCACTGAGTCAGTGGTTGAGATCCTGAGCACAGGAGCATGCCTGTGTTCAGGATCTGAGTCCCATGCTCTGTCCTCATACACGTAATTTAAAGTGTCAGTCACATGACAGGACTGCAGCACTAGGCAACTACAAGCTTACAATGCTTATCTTCTACACATAAAAAGTATACAAGGTCTTCTAAGGACATTCAGTTTTGTAATTTGGCCTCTAACTTCCTCTGTGGAAGTGAAAATCCCACCATGAACTCACCTATTTCTTCCTCTGGGTTTTCAGAAGCATGTACCTTTGCTCTCCAAAGATCTGAAATGGAAATATTTTAGCCTGTTAGGACATTGAGCAGAATGCCATTTCTGGCTTTTTTTTTTTTTTTAATAGTTAATTCTAATAAAGCTTAAGATAGAATTCAAGGCTTCCTGCAATAGTGAAATGTTATCAGTCAAGTTAATGAGGGCACCCTAGAAATGTGGCCACATTGTGCCAGCTTTCGACCAGAAGAGAAAATATAATTCCAAAATTTTATGTTACCTTAGCACGGTTTCTGTTCCATGGTTTTGTCACTGCAAGCCAGAGAGCTCTATATAATGGAAGTTGCTATAAATCAAGGAAAAGATTGCAGATGCACTAAAGCTAATAAAGCATGCTAATAAGTGAGGATATGGCATAGCCCAACACCCATTTCAAGAAAACATGAATCCCAATCCTGCCTGTAGTTCCAGTTTTCAGAATGTGATTTATTGCTGGCAGAGAAGAGTCTTTTCCTCTTGCAAGCAAATTTTGTGGGCTGGAAGCAAACCTTTCCAGAGAATTCTACACCAAGTTCCCTGTTCATGAAAAGGACACCTCCAGGCTCTCCCCTTCTCCATGACACCTCTGAGCCATGGTGCCTGATGCTCAGAGTGTGCAGGCCCTCAGAATGGAGTGGCTTTGAAGAAAACAATTCATTCCCACATACTTTAGGAAGAAAACAGAATCGACATTTTTAAAAAATGAGAAAAAAAGGAGGGGTCATGTTTAGTTTAAATATTGCTTGGTTATTTTAGGAAATTGTTAAAAACGTACAGTTGAATGTTTTTTCAGTGCAAAGATATTTCCACCACAGCCTTTTCAAGTGGCTCCAGTTGATGGAACTGATGTGTAGCTGCTGAGGTGCTGGACCATGAGAAGACTTTAAAGTGACTCCTGCATTCCAAACCTGTGCTGCTAACCTGCTGTCCCCTGCACATGCTTCAGGCAGGACATGAAGTCACTGCTCTTTGGCCAGGGTGACACCACATGTGGCACCTGGTGGGAGCACAGCTGCTTTGCACACATCATCATCTTTTCATTGGCATTTCCCACCACAGCAGGGAACTGGGAGGGAGTATTGTCTGGCTGAAACCCAAGCAGAATTTCAATGCCTTAAATGCACTCAGTTTTCCTACTGCTAAGGGGTCCAATATTGCAAGTCCCAGCTGCTCTCCTCCACCTTTTGCAGAGAAATAATTTTATTTTCTTGAGGTTTTGGGGTCTGTGCTTTCACTTGTCCAGTAAAATGAATGCTCAAAACATGACTGCTTTTAAACTTGAAGCATTGTCCTTACATTCCAAAACAAGGCATCTTGGTATGTTTAGAGAAATAATCTTGTGTCTGCTTTTCAGACTGCTAAAACTCTTGAGCTGAGTGTGGGGCTTCCAGAGTTATGTCAAAAAGATCTGATATATTGGGTGGCTTACAACAGATTTGTTTTTATTTCCTGGTCTTAATCACATTTCTATTCCCAAATTTTAATAAATTACAAATGAAGCTTCAAAAATCTGGAGAACAGCTAAAAAAAATCTTGAGTTTTAAAGCAAATATATTTTGGGAACTATAATTCAGAGCTGAAAGTCCATTTTTTTTGGCCAAACTTCTCTTCATAATGAAAATATCTGGAAACTTATTTTGTACAAGCAGAAGTGTTTTCTCTCCAAAACCTCCATAACACTCAAAAGAGGAGTTGTAAGGGGTAGAGGATCTGTACTTATACAGGCTATACTAAATGACCAAAATCAAAGTTATAAAGATAAGAAAATTTAAAGAGAACAAAAAGCTCTAAGGCTACACAGTGGGCATAAAAAGCATAGATTCTGTTTTTCCATATTAAAGCCAAGTCTCTTTGCTCTCGCCTGTGATTTTATTTCATTATAAATTTAAAAAAAACACCTTTCTTCCATCCCCTTAATTATTCTTTGTGCTCATATGAAGAATGTTTTAAATTCAAGCATAATAAAAATGATATTGTATTACTTTTATTATCCTAATGATCATAATACATAGACCTTAATGTATGCTTTCTAATGGAATTAAACCAGTGACAGATTATGTGTTTTATGGCAGAAATAATATTTTACATGGAATATTTTATGTAGGTCAGTTTAATATATTGAGATTAAATTATTAGTTTCTTTTTTTAAAGGGAGGGAAATTCCTGAAAACCCACAAGACTAAAGAGAATGTTTTTAATTCATACTTTCAATATGCTTTTAATTAAGGTTTAATATCATTTACTGGATGCTGCTTAAATACTGTTTGCTTTCGAAGACAGTGTTAGGTGGATTCTACTTGTTTCAGTTTTTTTCTTGGGTGGAAATAGGTGGATTAACTAATTCAAATACACATATTTTCTTTCATCTTGAGCTTATCTGCAATTTAGATCTTTTGGGGACGTACAAAAACCCTCCATTAGGGAGGGTTAGAAATGATGCCTTAAACTCTGCAGTGCTCTAGTCCCAGTGCTGGATTTCTGACTCTGTAGAGTTTAGACTAACCCTCACATCTTGAATAAACCCTCTGGACTTGCAGAGTATTGCTCCTGTGTGGAGAAGCCTAGCAGGTGAATTTGATACCCAGCTTGGGTGACTTGTGGATCATTTTCCAAGAGCCTGGCAGGCAGTCCCGGGGCTCTGTGCCCTCCGTGCCCGGCTGGGCAGGGAGTGATGGGGATGTGCCCATCACACACGCGGGGAGCTGCTCAGGTACCGAACTGTGCCTCCAGCGCTGGGAACACCTCGGTGAGTGTGCAGGTGTGACCGCAGGCTGCATGGGTCCTGCCTTACAGCTGGGGCATGGAGAAAGAGGAACGGAGAATCTGCGGGGGGAGCTGTGCTGGATGGAGCTGCGCTGCTGAACACAGCCCTGCCTCTGCCGCTGTGGTTAGGCACGGCAAGGTAGAGCTGCTGAGCCAGCGATGGAGCCCAGATAAGCACACGGGGCTGGGAGCAGCTAGTCTGTGATCTGGGTGTAACTCCGGGCAGGTTTAGCCCTGCCCAGACCTGCTGCGCACAGAGCCCAGCCTAGCAGAGAGCAGCTCGGTGTCACCGTGTGGTTTGTGCCTGTGCTCTCTGGGACACAGCTCTGCTCACGCCGTGCCGTGACCCACAGGTCAGCCCAGCCAGGAAAATGGTGCAGGTGCAATTTGGGCAGAAAATCAGGGAGCAGGAAGAGCTCAATTTCCCCACCGGATTAGGTATTGTAACCCACTCCCAGCCAGAACCTTCAGTGATAAACAGCAACATGTGCCTCGTCTTTTTAAGTACACAGAACTTCCCTTAGTCCCTTTGCTTGTTACCTCCTGCTTCCATGTGACTTTTTTCCCCTTCCTCCAAAAATTCGTATTTCTCCTCATTGCAACAGATAATGGCCGGTCCTGTGGCATTGCAGCAGCCAGGAGCTCAGTGCCATTTATAATTGAGGCAGCAAATAGGAAAGAAAGCAAATATCTGTGGAGCCGAGACAGGGTAGAGCACTGCTGCAGATGTGTGGACAGCTGTGCAGAAGGTGAGGCGGGAGCGGATATCCAGTGGATCCAAGCTGGAATAACTGCTCTGCACGGCTCAGGTGGGGCAGACTATCCCTGTGGGATTCCCCAAGTGGAGATGGCGATTTTCTGTGAATGTCTGCGTGAAGCAGGCTGGTATGGGAGGAGCTCGTTAGGTAAAAGCGGAGGCTTTTGCCGCCAGAGGGTGGTGCGTGCCCCCTTACAAACGCCGAGGGACAGCAATAGCCCATGGAAGTGCTGCCAGCTCCCCTCTCCCCGTTAGACCACGCTGTGCCCGTGTTCACATGACCCTGCTGAGCCCCACTAGCCATGAGCCCCACTTGTTCCCTGCACGGAGTGGAGATGAGTAAGAACGAAGTAAGAAGCAGGTTGTGAGAAAGCCCCGCTTTGGGCCAGCAGGGAGCATTAGAAGCAGCAGCACCGTGACAGTCCGGGAAGGGAGAGTGGCAGAGCCCGAAAGCGGCTTGCAGGCAGCATGCACGCAGGTCAATTTACCCTCAAACTCTACTGAAGTACTGCTTCCTGTACAGGGAGAAGGAAACGAAAGGCTAAACTAGTGCTAGACAAAGTGCTCAGCAGGTGCGCGTCTCACCTGCAAAGCTGCAGGCGTTTAACTTCTCGGTGTCCTCTGGATTGTGCACAGCTGAGCCCTTTGCTCCCAGAATAGGAAATGTGAGCTAGAAAACTCAGTAAAATACCCCTCTGGCTCAACAAATGATTTTTCCCCAAGAAACAAAGTTTTACACAAGATATGTACAATTAAGCTGGGGAATAAATAAGCCCACCAAGTTCAGGAATAAAAGCTCTCAAAAAGAATGGAGAACAAATAAGTTAGATCACTTACGTAAGAGAAGAAATGCTGTTGGGGCTGATATCCAGTTTGTTAGTAAGGTCATTATGAAGCTGTGACAAGAGAGTGGTTTCACTCAAGTTTTCATGAATTTTGCTCTTCTACAGTGTCTGAAAAAAAAGCTAAAGCACGTCACATGATTATTGAGAAACTAGTCACATCCTGAGTACTTACGTTTGCAAACACAAGTTCCCTTTTTTGGGTTTAAGTTCAATATATAAACAAACTTGAAAAGGTTTTGTGAAGGAGGTGGACAGCCAACAGTCACAGCCTACTTCAGCTGTTTTGTTCTCTAAGGGACCTTTAAACACCGACATTTTTACATGTCGAAAATGTCCTACCACAGTGAATTTGTTTCTGCTGAAATCTTCTAAATCCATGGATAAGCAAGTGGATTTTCTGTCTTAGAAGAAATTTCTAAGGCATTCTCTTTCAGTGTTGCTAACTTTTGTATGAACTCAACTTGAATGCTATCATAATGTTTTCAGCAGAGCACTTATTTGAATATTTCCCTTTCATAATCAGCTTTTTCAGGAATAGAGAAGCAGCTCACTGTGGCTGTTAAACCATTGCAAGACAGTTCCCAGATAATAACTTCTACCTGGAAAAATGTTCTGACATTCCTGGCCTATTTAGCTGTGTGAAGCATTGGTACAACTGAGTGTGGCAGATGTCGTAGAAAGTATTTGTTACTGCTTTGACCTGTAGTGTTGGTGCACACATGCATGTGTGTGTGTGTGTGTGTGTGTGTGTGTGTTTCATTTTTGCTTTCTCTGCTCCTGGTTCTCTATGGGATCAGAGTTGGAAACACCAAAACCAAGAAAACAAAAATCTATGCACCAGTTGGATGGGAAATATCAGGATCCTTGTAAGAAACATCCAGTGTTTTTGTACCTTATGTTTCATCTGCAAAGATTCCTGAAAACCTCTTGTAGAAGTAATAACAGGAATGTCAGCTCTCTTGTTTTTGGGTTTGAAGGTTGTAATTTTTGAATTTGAGGGTAGTTTTGTCTTATTTTGCTTTGGTTGGTTTTTGTAGCTTCTGCTGGCCCAAATCAACAGTCTTCAGGTAGTTTCAGTATTTCAGAGAAGGAACTAAACATCTGAATATTTGGGTGAAATCTCTAAAACTATTAGCTTTATTCCACTGCTGCTTTCCCACGAATGTTTCAAAGAGCTTGGCTAGGTGACTGCACACAGCTGATAGTGTAAGCTTCATTGTTCTTTTTCACAGCACACCTCCAGTGAGGAAAAGCACTGACCAGAATAAGAGACTTAATAGAATCCTGCTTTGTAATAGGTTTATTCTGATTCTTCACCAAACTGGGAAATGTGCTTTCAAGCACCATCATCATTATCAGCCTTCCCTCTATTCTTCACCATCCAGCCACTGGGCAGGATATATATGTTTAATTAATTCTGCTTTTACCTTCGACCTGTAAATAGTGGGAGTAATGTCAGATTTATATGTTATATGAATAACAAGGATTTCTCAGGAGACCCTATCTTGGTGAAAGAGGCTAACTGTAATTTTCAGCTGTGAGTAATTGTATATAATATAATCCTAAATGATTTTTCTTCTGTAATTTCATTAGAGTTTAGAAATTTAATTAGATTTTGAATCACTCTGAAATAAAGTAGCAAAACACCCAGAGACTAAGTGCAGTGGTTATTTTGTCCTCTGAGGCCAGAATTCTTGGTCTCAAATTGGCATGTGTTCATTAGGAGGAAGTTTGCAGAAGTTCTTGATATATTATTGTGTTTCAGAATGGACTCTGAATAGGTCTTTAGAGAGCATTAGAGGAGCACACAATTATTATACAGACTCTTTTTGAGGTTTAAGATCATCTGCCTTTCATATACTTAATAAAAATACGCCTCTAAAGTTGTTTAAGAAACTGTGGAGATAGGAAAGATGCCACTCCAGTGCCTCAGTGCTCTTCCTGGTTTATTATCAACTCCAGTACCTGTGTATGATGATACAGAGAGGAGTTGTTTGCTTTACTTTAATGATTAGGTAGGTTTATGGTTATTTTTATTGCTACACATATGAACTGTCATGGTGGCTGTAATTAGAGACACACTAAAATGCTGTTCCATCTGAGGTTCAAAAGAAATCTGTTCTGGCTAACTTTCATTCTTTGTGGAATTTATTCTATAGGCAAAAAATGGACTCAGATGGCAGTGAGCACCATGAAGCAAAGACCAGTGCAGCATTTGATGATAGCATGGGGTGCCAGGATAGCTGTTGGCTCAAAAAGGATATTCTCTTAAAAAAATGAAAAAAAAAAAGTTGTGAAATGAAGAATTTCAGCAGGACAAATCAGACAGACAAATATAAAAAAGCTTTCTCAATAATGGCAAGCCAACCCTATTTGAAAAGGAAGTAGTAAGTCCAATGCAATGGGATACATGTCAGCCCCAAAGAGAAAAATCAAAAAGAAACACCCCAGGTGAGCAGAATTTTCTTTTACAAACTGACCTATGCAAACATTGCTGGCTGACTCATGTTAGCATCCTCTTGACAGGATTCCAGCCTCCCCTGTGTTGGCCACTTCAACTAGACACAGAGTGACACAATTCCTCGGTCTGATGCAAGGAGTCATTTCCTTTGTTTCATTAACAACTCTTGAGAGCTCATCATCACACAAATCCAATCCTCTGGCTCAAATATATACTTTCAGAGTGTGGCCAAGTAAGTCTTGGGTCCAATTGAAAAAGATTCTTGGAAAAAGATTAAAAGATTTTGTGCACTTTGCTTGATGGATACCAAGGGTGATCAGACAACCTCAGGCAGCCTGGTGTGTGTGGATGTTCCATTCCATTAACATGTCATGTCACATCATGGAACAAATTGAAGAAAACATGTTCAGGCTGGCTGCTGCCGAAAAATCAAGGTGGTTTTGCTATGGGCATCCAGAACAAATGGAAACTATGCTTGAAAACTCACAGCTGCTCTTCCTTTGCTATTTTCTCCATCACCCCCTCTGTCAGGACTCTGAGCTGCTGGGACAACTGGAAGGGATTCCACATTGCAGCAAGCAGCAGGATCACAGATGTCGGGTGTGTTAACAAAGGGAAACACGCCTGCACCAGTTATTTAATGCTTTCCTCCCTTGGCATTAAGGAATACTGTGGGAAACCATTTGGCATTCTAGTCTTGCTCCCCTTTCATTCCCCTCCACCTCTTTCCTTTTCTGTGTAAAGGAATGTGTTATGCTACAGAGATGCTGGTACATTTTTAAAACGTGTTTTCTGGATTTCACTTGAGGGACATTATAGCTTGGTCCTGTTACCAACTCAGAGAGGTGCAAGGAGGCAAAGAAAAAAGCCTTGGGACACGTACTCAAGTCTCCTGAGTACATCAGGAAAGACAGTGCTGAAATAGTCTACATTTGTCTCACTGCTGAAATATGAGTGAGCAACTGGAGGAGGAGATTCTTCCATAGGTTTTATATTCTCTGAAGCACTGGAAGTCCCAGTGGAGATACTGTAGCATTTGTAAAAGTGCCAGAGGAATTGGGATGCTAGAGGAGAAGGAAGCAATCCTGCAAAGCTCATGAAAAATCATTGTGGGAGCATTTGGCTCTCCGAGCAGTGAGTTTTGGACTGGACAACCCTAAGTGAAGGGCTCCAGTATTCACTGGATTATATTGTCTGGTCCTCTGTTTATCTCAGTCACTGGAGGGGTGTTTGTTGATAAAATTCCTTTACTGAGGCAGCACTGCTGGAATTTTTTCTATGTAGGTTTTCATACGGCATGAACAAAACATGCCAGGCAGCCTGGCTTTGTCATTGTTGCATATTCTGATACACTCAGCTGTGTCTTAAAATACCTTTGACGTGTATGATGATAACTTAGAAAGTTCCTAAGCAACCTCTGAAAATGGCTAGGTGCCTGCTCTCTGAAGGTGGTGTGTGTGTGGTGGAGGAGCAAAATGCAGTGGCTGGGAAATTTCAGAGCAAGAGAAAAAGGTAAAGTGTGTCCAATTTCCATCCAATATTCTTGCATCTCCTGTCCATCTGTATTCTGTATAAGCATGTTGGACTTTATTAAAGGGAAACCATGGTGAGCTTCTACTAAAGAACATTGATATTGGAGTAGAAGAAACTATTTTTGTCTCTGCTGTTCCAGGTGTGAAATAGGATTTTCAACAGAATAAATCTTCCAAGAAAAGACACTGTAATTGTGGAAAGGTTGAGCGTCTTTACGAGGAATGGACTCCTGAAAAACACCAGCTGTTCCTTTGTGAGAATGTAGGTTCAGTGCTCCATAGGAATGGTAATTCAGGTAGCTCATGTCCCTGTTATCCCCTCTTGGCTGGGTCACCCGCTGAATTGCATTCTCATGATCTGCTGTAACCAGAGAACAGAATGATCCATTGCACTGGCACAGCAAAAATTGTATGCATACAGGGATTTGTTTTTTCCTTTTGCTAGTCAATTCAACCATCAAAAGAGGGGACATGAAATGTGAGATATGTAGCTTCCACAAGAAAGCCTGGTAAGTTTCTGGTAGAAATGTTCAGCTTGTGGTTTTGGGTGTGGGTGTGTGTGTTTGTTTCAGTGATAAGGAAGCTTTTGCTGTCAGACTGCTAGTCAAGGGCAGCAATGACCAGTGAATAGTGGGCAACTGGGCTCCTACAGCTCATTTCTATTATTCTTTGCATGTACAAACATGTTGCACTTTACTTTTGAAATCCTGTTGTCAGAAGCCAGTTTTGAATGTACATACAGCAAAGTTACTTGAACAAACCATGCAGTTCCTATTCAAAGCTAATTGCCACTTTCTTTATAATATGAGCAACACTGGTGACGTGACATTAGACCTAACTGTATCCCATTTTGATGCTAATATTTGCACTTACACAAGGCATTAAAGAAGCTGAGACCTCTCTTGACATAAAGCAAACATTGCATCTTTATCATACAATAGGCATAAGCAAACTAATTCCCTTCTTTGGGGTTAGAATTGTGTTTTTTCTTCTTTTACATCTAACACCAAAAAGCACTAAAAGTCATTAGACATCTTTATAAACACCAGGTTAAAGTAAAACACCATTCAGCATTAATTTCCATGCAGGTTTCCCCCAAATACATGGCATTATC